TAAGAGGCAAACATGTTACATTTGTACAGTTAAACCTGGGTTCCATTACGTAGAAATGGAACATCTCACCCATAAGGGCTAGTGAGATGGCTCAGCTGATAAGGCACTTGCTTCCCAAGCCTGTTGCTCTGAGTTCTATTCCCAGAGCCTTTGTAAAAGTTGGAAGGATCAGAGGACCCCCCTGTGGTGGTATGAATGAGAATGGCCCCATTAGGTTCCAATCACCAGGAAGTGGAATTGTTGGGGAAGGATTAAAAGGTGTGGCCTCATTGTGTCACTTAGGATGGGCTTAGAAGTTTCAAAAGCCCCACTAGCTCCCACCCCAGGCTACAACTTGGGGATCAGATGTAAGTTCTTAGCTACTTCTCCAGCACAGTGTCTGTAGCTGTCTGCCTGTGTGTTGCCATCACCATGATGATAAATGCTTCTGAAACTGCAAGCCAGCTCCCAGTTAAGTGCTTTCTTTTGTAAGAGTTGCCTTGGTCATGATGTCTCTTCACAGTAATAGAACAGAAACTAAGACACTCCCCCACAAAGCTTCACATGCCCCTTGAGTTAGCACACACATGCACGCACGCAATACATGCACGCACATACATGCACACATATATAAATAAAAATTTAAAAAAATAACCACTTCTTTGAGCTGTTAGGATGAGGAAGGTTTTTAATAGTCAGGCTTGGTGGCTTACTCCTACAGTCCCAGCACTTGGGAGGCTGAAACAGGACTGCATTGAGTTCAAGGCTATTCTCGTGTATAAACAGGAGCGCATTTAATGACTGGCAGCTGGAATTGGGTCTGTCTGCCTGAACTGTGTGAAACTGCCAACATTTGACTGTTTGGGATATGCCTGGGTCAACTGGTGGGATACGCACACCTGTGTTTCCTGAGGGAAAAAGATTGGACCTGGACCTCTCAGGTGGGAAATAGATGGTTAGTGCCCACAATGACAGCGAGGCAAATGTAGAGCGACCAGTCCATCGGCTCCCGTCTGTTTTGAGGGTTAAAGTTTCTTTGACCACTGAAACTGGGTCCTTCATCTGGACCTCACTGGGAGTATTTTATTCTTGATGTTTTTTAGACTGCAGCCTCCAGCTGTCTTAGCTATTGGATAATGGACTTACAGGGGCGTGGCCTTTTCTCAGCTAT